ATAAAAGAACTCGATAATACACGCCTATTATGATAGGTGGTTGGCGTGACTTATCGAATAGCTCTCAATTTCTTTCACGGTTATGCCCAATTTTCTGCCACCATATTTGCTCGAATGCGAGAAGAAAAATACGGGACGCGAATTTCATCTGAACGATCAAGGAGTGTTTCGTATAATTTTCACCAGCTTATCGCGTGAAGCGTCTCGAACAGGTGAAAGAAACCGTGAAGGACTTCTTTCGTGGACGCTGAAGTGCGAAGGAGTATCGCAGTTTCTAGCAGCGCTGTCGTAGCATTAAGCAGGGTTTCCACATGCGAAGTCTATTGGCGACAGAAACACGCCACTTTGATAGCGTTAATAATAGTGCCAGTTAGTAATAGCGTTAGTCTTTAAGGGAGTAATACTTTTCTTTGTTTACCACATTCGAGGCAATTTTCACGATTTTTCGCGGTCAAAGTTCTCGTCGTAAATATTTAAAACTTGCTAGATATATTTATATATGTATATACAAGATCCTCTGTAATTTTCAATGGTTCTGGTCGATTTTTTTACAAGTTACATTCAATATTCTACGCGACAAGTAGAACTGACCAAACATGTTAACGCGATCGAAATCTTCTCTGATGGTCCAATTCGACGAAAACTAATTTTGTTCTATTCATTGTAAATTTTATTATATCGCGAATATGGGAAGAAAAAATTAAAAGAAAATCGACAAGATAGCAACACTTTGATCTCCAATTTTTCCACTGAATTTGTGATTCTTTAGTGGCCCGAAGAAAATGGTAACTTTTGAATCAAAATATTTTAAATACGATTTATTAGAATTATTCTCAAGACCATATACAACAAGAATGTACAAACATGTGTTCTTTTTACCCAAAGTAAAAGAAGCGAAGCGATATAAACGTTTATAACATTGGCAATTTTGAGATTTTGTAAATATGTCTTGGTAGAAATATCTCAAGGACCTCGAGCACCAATTTCATTAACCCTTTAACCTATAACAACGTGTGAGACTCGTGGTGCAGAATTTGAGTCGAAGATGAAAAACACGAGTTAGGCACGTCGTATAAAAGGGCGCAAGGAATTTTATACTTGATTATGGCAGGTACAATCCTACAGTAAATCGTAGATCAAAGGATTAACAATGAAAGTCCATTTTATGAGCTAGAAAGAGAGAGTAGCTCCTTAAAATGTCGTACGTGCGTTGTACGAATGTGCAAGAAAATTGGCGCCAGTCGACTGCCGCCACTAGACATCCCATGTGGAAGGGTCCGCATTAGCTCAGAAGTACAGAGCTTGTGCTTATTGAGATCAACTCCTTTGTTTGAACGTTAAACGAGGAGAGAACGTTTCTTCCGCGCGATCTAACGATCGCTGGCAAAAGATCATCTGAAGGATTTCACCGACGAAGCACAGCGATTCCGATTCCCCTTGAAGTAATCTCGGCTTTACATCGAGCAAACGCCCCTGCAACGGTTTCGAAAGAATGAAAAACGATCTGCATCGTTAGTTGCGCGCCGCGGTTGCCGTTAATCTTGCATAACGTCAAATCTCGAAGATATTAGATCAACGATTAATCCTGATATCGCTGGGTGAACGAACCCTTCGTTCTTCTCTTCAGATGAATCTCTGCATTATGAACGAGCCTTTGTATGATTTAAACAATTAGTGGCCTTTTCACCTAGTTTACTAATTGCTAATCTCCATCGTTGATTAATCATGGACTCTCTCAGGTGATGTGTATTTTAATTAACGGAACTGGATAGGCAGTTATATTATTTCCCTTTTTCGTCTTCATAAATATATGATGTAGGTATTAGATCAATGATTAATCCTGATATCGCTGGGTAAACGAACCCTTCGTTCTTCTCTTCAGATGAATCTCTGGATTATGAACGAACCTTTGTATGATTTGGACAATTGTTAGGATCCCTCTGTTACATTATGCTTGGAGCTGGTGGCCTTTTCGCCTAGTTTACTAATTACTAGACTGCGGATCTTTATGCATTTACAGGAAAATTGAATTTTCAATCTACAAAATGCAAACAATATGCAAGAATATAAAAAAGATTGAAAGTAAAGTTCATGTTGTAATATTTGCAGAATAAAATAAATTCCTATTTAGGTTCAATTTTTATAGGCACGTTCGCGAAGATTTTATTTTGCATAAAGATCCGCCGTCTACCATTTGCTAATCTCCACCGTTTATTAATCATGGACTCTCAGACCGTATATATTTCAGTTAATTTTCAAATAGAATGTATTTAAATTCAATTTATTAGAAATATATTAACTAAAGTACATTGAGGTAGTTGTTATATTATTTCTCTTTTTCATTCTGCCTTTGTGGATGTAAACTACATGTGTATAAATTATAATGATGTGTAATTATAATACATGCGTGTAAATATATATTAATTAAATGATGATTTGTCCCAAATCTGTTGCAATACTCTAGGCTACCTAGTAGGATAATAATTCTACAATTTATACATAATTATCCTGTCTATCAAAATACGAGTTAAAGGTATTGTTTTGCGACGATTGTGTTTTGAAACAGTCCTGGAACAATTGCATGTGAACAGGGGGGAACCAGAAGGATGGAAATTCTGCGAAGGACGAAGTATATAAAGTTGTTTCGCAACGCTGATTCGTGAGATGTATCAATTATTTTATTGGGAGAGTACGCGCAGGCTCAGTAGACGAAATTCAAGAATTTTTTGTGTGGATTTAAATACATATTTTAAACCGAGACAAATCGTAATTTTACAAGACAAGTATTGAACTCGATATACAAATTTTTTTTATTAAGATGTATTAAAAAATGGTCAAGATATAGCAAATATCATCAAAATAAATTATTGTGTTAGTAGACGTCAAAATCTGCTGAATGAATGAAAGAATTTTTTTTTCGATACAAAGGTTACTATTTTATTAAGGAAAAAGGTTCATTTTGAAAAGTGAGAGGATTTAGTAAGACCTCTGACATACATGTAGAAAGTAAAATTTCGAAAGAACCTATATCCATTCAGAGGATGACGTCATTAACAGAATGATCTATTTGTTATCTACAAAAAAAAAAACGAAACGTTCCTGAAGATTTGCTCAATCTTGGCCATTTTTAAATACATCTTAACAAAGAAATATATATTAAGTGTAAAAATTAATTCTGTGCTTTTCTAAACTAAACTTACCATTACTATCCAAAGAATAATCATATGTGTAACTTGTAATCTATTCTTAGCCATACATGTCAAAAGAACACGTATAGTATAAAAACTAAATGCCGAGTAACAGTTTCTACATAAACTACACAAAATAAATGTGTCAATATAAAAGCATAGAATGAATTTCTACACCTAATATATTAAATTCAGTACTTGTACTACAAGATTACATTTTGTTTTGTGTTAAAATCCGTATTTAAATTTTTGCAAAAAAAAAAAGAAGAATTTTTAAATTTTCACTATAATCGGGTGTAACCCCTTAAGTAAATTTCACGCGTGGCAAAAGAGTCTCGCGAACGACGAATAGTGTACGGAGACGATATAGAAAGCAGGAAGAATTTCTGCATATTTGTCCCATAAAAGGGAAAGAAAACAGAAGCGAAATACGATCTCGTGCGATGATAGCGTCAACGCAATTTGCACGGAACCGTTGCGAAGTAACCGAGTGTGAAGTATCGCGCGATAAATTCAATTATTTCATCGTTAAATCATACACAATGGAATCAAAACGACGCGACTGCGTACCGTTTCGATTGAGACCGATAAGTTGCGATTAATCGTCGGAAATCGAAGCATAAAGAACAAGAAATGCTCCTCGATCGTTTGTCTTCAATCGCGATACGGACCGAAGCAATTATAAGAGTAGACCGAGTTGCCAATTTTTAACATTCATTGCATAACTTTGCACGCACGAGTTAATTCCCCTCAAATATAGAGTAAGTGTAATTATTTCAATTCCTGCGTGTACTAAAATACTAACTTTAATATACCTAGGAATATTCAAGTTTGTTTTGCGAAATATAATTAAGAATTTAGATATGATATACCGTATACTGACATATAACAAGTATAACTATTTCAATTCCTGTGTGTATCAAAATAGTAATTTTATGCCTGAAAATATTCAAATATGTTTTGCTAAATTTAATTAACAATTTACATGTGATATACCGTGTACTGATATTATAAATGTCACTATACTTGAAATTAATCGAAAAAAAAATAATTTAGAAATCATTATTCAAAACTTGGTTTCGATTTCAAAAGGGAATATTGCTGTAAATAAATAACATTAGGTAAATGTCTAAAAGTGAAAATTGAGCCTATAAATTGTAGGCCATTGGCATTCTGTATATTTTCGTTATTGTTAATTTTCGTGTAAAAACGTTCAAAGATTAAACGTTGCAAATAATACGTGACACTTTTTTTTTTAATGTTAAACTAACGCAGACAATGTATAATAAATTCACGACTCGCTAAACATAAATTCTGCGAATTTAATCAAGTGTTATTTTGCGTTCATTTTCAGATAACATTCAAAATGTGTCATATTTATAACATTTCATTATTTCAACACAAAACGTTCGTTGAGATCAGATAACACGTTCAAACTTTAGTTAAGTTTAACATTTAACCAATGAATTTTTATACGCAAAAACATAAAATTTTCAACCGTCTAAGTGGTTTGTAAGACTTTTGCACGGTGCTGTATTAAATAACCCCATGACCGTATTGTTCACCTCTCCCCCCCCCCCTCCCCTTCCGCCGCCCCAGCCAAGGACCGTGTTCCCCCCGAAGTAAGAACAAGGTCCAAAGTCATCGCGATAGCTTCCAATGCACGATTTCGATGATCTCCCGGAGGTATCATCGGTCGCGGATACCAAATCACCGGCTGCAGTCCTCGATAGAAGAAACCAGGTGTGTTCTCCAGGGAGGCCTTCCTATGCGGCAGAGATCGGACCTGCCAGAAGAGTGGGGAGCTCATATAAGACACGAAGCCAAACGCCTCTCCCAGTGACCAGTCTCGACACGAAAACTCATCAGCCGAGCTTCTTCGGTTCTTATAAGACACACTTCACGCTTGTACGCCCCATCCTTGGATGGTTTCTACCGCAGAACTTGAAATTTAAGTAGATTCGAGTTAATCGAATTGGTCTTGGCACCAAGGCCGTGCACGATATAGCTCAGAATGGCATCGTCGCAGGTTCTCTCGTTTCTTCTGCTGTTCATGGCTGCCCACGGTGAGTCCTTTGGCAACTGCCTTCTTTTATTTCGCCGACCGCGTCCCAGCATCTCTTATTTCCGCTATTTGCCTCTTCTTGCACCGTCTTCCGTCTCCGTCTTCGCGTTGCCCTCTTCGTTTCACGCCGGCCCGTGTCGGTCACGGCTTCTTCTTCGTCGTCTTCTTCTTCTTCCAGCCGATCGATGGCGTCGTTTTCACGGAAATTGAACGTAACCCGGCGTAAATTACCGGACCTTGTTTTATCGAATCGTTTGGATGTCGCGATGAAGTCCCGAAAACGTCTTAACGTTGAATCATTTTTAAGTTGGAGTGTTCGATGACTCGGGTGGTCGCAAAAGACATACTCGACGTGCGAAGTCTTGTTGCTTTATTTACTGGCGTATTTAGAAACAGTTTAGAGGTTAGATTAATGTGTAAGTATTAATGTGTATTGATCTGGGGTTACGTTAATTTTTTCGTCGAATTGAATAGTTTATTATTGAGTACGAAACTACACAATCGGTTATGCCGACTTTGCTTCCACGTTGCGTTTAGTTACTACAATATTATCAGAAATAAAGTAAATAGGAAAATACTGAAATAAATCTTTTCATTGAGTGCAAGTATGGGCACGATTTAAATCTTAAAGGTAACAAAATTTGTTCGTTGTTTGTCAAGTGAAACGTGTGTTAACTAATAATCATAAATGGAGATCATTCGAATTAAAGAAGTATTCAGAGATAATCGAAATATTCATTAATACAGGACAATAATATATTTTTATTTAATAGAATGTTACGATTAGACGGTGAATATTTATGCATTTGTGGCAAATGAAAATATGAGAATGTACACGAACGCAAAAATATATAAACTATCAACAATAATATGCACATAATATCGTTTAGAAGATGAGACATACTCTCATTTGAGTTTCAATTCTTTTTCTATATCTGTGCAAATACGAATTTGCGTCAACATCCGTGTTCTACTAATAAGTTATGCGACGTATTAAGTTGGGTTAGGTTGTAAAATAGTTTTTTTTTTGGTTCACTGTGCTTCGATCGAATGCAATACCCTGTACATACGTTTTGTTTGCTCTTCTTTTTTTAATATGTTGAATAAACGTCCTTTAAATAAATTAAAATAAATAGGAAATAATTATGTAGCAGTGGTCATCGATACACCGTGAGTGCAAGTCGATGGTTTAGTGCAAAAACAGTGTATATATTTATTTGAGAGTGAGATTAAAAGTCAAGAGTGAGATCAGCACAATTTCGATGTGCTTTCGTTAGTGTCAGATCGATGTATTAATAAAAGAAACAGAACAGATCAAGGGGTATTTAGGAGATTTTCAAGATGGTTTCGTTGTGTAGTTGCAGCGAGAGAGAGGAGAGTGCGTCAGTTCGTATATTCTCATGGCATTTGCGACATTTGTTATACAGTTTCACAAGAATTTCTCGATTTATTTTGCTTCTATATACTTTGGTCTAACACTAACAAAACCACTTCGAAACTGAGCAAGTTTCACTTTCAACCAGAGATGGGAAAATTTCTTATCTAGATGAAAGTTCCGAGTAATGAATGAAAGATAAACAACTGCTTGCTCGTTGCTCTTTAGATACAAATTAGAATTCAAAGTGTAGAATTAAAGTGTTAAATATACGTACTTGGGTCTCATAGAGCAACTATAATTGTGTTAACCATATAATAAAATGTATTTCTTCATTTATCATATTATAATTATAGTACATATATAACTATATTTACTATACATGTATACTATGTAGGTATGCTATGCAACTATATCTGTGTTCTATGCAACTATATCTGTGTTATATGCATAATAAATTGTATCTATTCAAGTATTATATTATAGTTATAACACAGTTCGTCGTCCTTCGACGCCACTCCAGAGGCCACTTTTAAATTAATGAATTATTTACATTAATTATTCTTAGCCGTAGATTTACTAACATTTTTTAATAATATCTTTGCAAATACTTTTAAGGCAAATATAGTTGCTCCACGAAGTTCAATAATTATACTTATTTTTAACAAATTTATCAATAGATATCCAACAACCAAACGTCTGATTTCTATTATGGTCACAAAATCAAATTTTCGACACAGAAGAATTTAACTGTTTCATCGAATAAACGTTACGAATAAATTACTACGCATCGGTTTCATTAGTTTGAGTTAGGTCAGTGCTAACCACTTCGAGGGCCCCTTTATTAATGAATTATTTACATTAAATATTCTTATCCATCTCTTTACTAATACCTTGGCACATATATATTATACGATCTAGGAAGTCCAACAACTGCCTATCTTTAACAAATTTAATTTGTCTAACTTTTATCATGATTACAGATTTGAATATTTCAAATCGCTACGCGTTGGATCGATCGGTTGTTTATTATCCCAGTACAATTCTGCTCGACTTGGAATGGGCGATTATGTAGTGAAACACGTCTGACACTAAACCACCAAAGTGAAAACGGACTTTCTGTGATCAGACGAGCGCATTTCTTGCAGCCACTGGATCTGAAAAGTGCGCGTCGGCCTACTTTCGCGGATACGAGTGTCCCGAGACGCTCTCGTGTTCGTCGACGGCGCTTCGCGAGCCTAAACCGTCGTGCACCGTGAAATCGAGGGTGATTTACACAAGAGCGATCCAATTAATTATTTCGTAATTGTCTCGCACCAGATACCTTATTAATACGCCGTAATTCGTTTTCACTCCCATCTAAATGGTGGAATTTTATTCAACTTTCTCGAAGCAAACTCGGCGTCGTCGGTTACATTCACTCGTGGCTAAACGTTGATCAAACGTTCCCGTTACGTGTCATTAGCTGAGAAATGTATGGAAGTACGAAATTTGTATCGAATTATAATGTTTATTTTACTAACATTTCGAGATGGAGTCTTCTCATTCGATCTTGTTGGAGAGAGCTGTTAAAACTTTTTCAAAAATTAATATTCTTTAAAGATATTTTAAAGAAAGTGGTAAATTCATTTTTCATGTTATAATTTACACATTTAATCCTTTGCTCTCCAGGCAATTGGGCCATACGTTGGTAGTTAATTTCAAGGAATTTTTTCTTAGATATTTGAATTATTTGTTATTTGACAGATTTTATCACCTGTTCTTAAAACTTTATATTTGCATTAACCGAACGTAAGCAAACGTAAATTAACATAAATTAATGGAAATCTCATATTTATTTTACTATTTATAACAAGGCGACTTTAAGTATCTGGAAAGGTCCTAAAGGTTACCTATTCTCGGCATAATTCAGTGTTTACCATCTTAACCCTTTTTTGTCCAAGCGATTATATGTAGCCAAATTCGAGGGTTTTTTCTTAGATTTCTTAGATATGTGAAGCTTTTATTCTAACTTTAAATCTTTATTAAACACACATAAACATACATAATTTCATATAGTTTAATGACAGCATAGCTGGGCCTTAAGAATTAAGCACCCCTAAGTTCCTGGATAATACAGCTGACCTTAGGAGTGCAAAAGGATGTGATTATCATAACATGTGATTATCCCCGAGTCTCAACTTCAATTAAAATTTTGTGTCTTTTTCATAGTAACATATTATCCAATTACTATTTTTCCGTCATTCCATTACTATTTTTCTTCGTATCATACGCACGAAAATAATTGTTAAGATTTAAAGGGACTTCACTCATCACCTCCACATCTACGTCATCGTAAACTAAAGTGTTAGGACGTCGTAATTCGTTTTCACTCCATCTAAACGTAGGAATTTTATTATTCAACTTTCTCAAAGCAACGCGACGTCGTTCGTTACATTCACTCGTGGTTAAACGTTCATCAAACACTCCCGTTACGTGTCATTAACGGAGAAAAGTATGAAAGTATAAAAACGCGACTCTCGTTAGGTTATAAAGTAACTTGCATTAACAAAGTAACGTAGGAAATCGTTACTCTACTTAGGTCCGAATTATGTTTCTTCGGTGAAAGATAATATTCTACGCGTGCTTCGAATTATTTCAAGTCTTTTAGTCAGATTTTTTATGAACTTTACATTAAAAATATCTTCGGAAAATATTGATTCACACTCACAGCCTAGCAAAAATTCCCAATTAGTTTTAATTTTTTTGAGCTTCGACTTGAGACACAGATATTGGTCGTGTTTGATAAATATCTTTTTCAAACGGTTTTGGGAAATTGTGAATAGATCTAAGAAATCGAGAAAATTAATTTATATATATTTGAAAGGATTCCAGCATAATTTTATGTTTATAGATACATATATGAGTAACTGATGTATATATATATTGCACAATGCAAACTTGTTAATTGTAATATATCATTATGATTTTGGGTCTCCTTTGGGATAATTAGATTTAGGTTAGGCAACCACATGTGCAGCATAGGGAAGAAATTGTTTATAAATAAATTCTTGAAAAAAGATTACAAACACAATCACTATGTAGAAATTCCTCAAACTTTGTAGTTAACATAGCCAAAATGTAAACTCATTCAAATTATGAAAGACAAACGGATTATTAAAAAGAAAGAATGTATAATCTATAAGGAATAAAATATACAGAATAGTCAGATTAAAGTTACAAAATAAACATAAAAAGATATTATACAAAAATGATTGAATTATAAATTCTTTAAAAATTCTTGATAGCTTTTTGAATTTTGTGTTTCAGTCCTGTCGATCACTGTTTGTTTTGAAGTTATAAACTATACATAAAGATCAGAGAATACTTTCATTACCATTGTTTCGAAAATTCTCCCAGGTTACTCGATTTTTCTGTTTGATCGTATCGTTATCATTACTCAATATTCGTTATCACAGTATTAACCAATATTCGTAACTTGTAGTAATGCCCCCACCCTTGCGATTATTACACACGTCTTCGTAAGACAATGTCGGGCATTCACCGGGTTTCACACATCCCAAGAACTTTCTCCCGTGTCTCAGGAGTGAAAATATGAAAGTAGCTCAGCAGAGAGATTACTCTCT